CAACTGCTTACACACAGGCACAATAATTCTTCTAATTCTTTTATTTTTTTACTTGTCTGTGTGCAGGTCATCAATCAGTCCAAAGCCAGGTTCAACCCAAGTATCAGCATGATCAAGAAGTGCATCGAGGTGCTCATCGACAAGCAGTACATTGAGCGGAGCCAGACCTCTGCAGACGAGTACAGCTATGTGGCGTAGGCGGAAGAGCCAGGGAGCCCCTCCTCCCCAAAAACACTCGCCTGTGTGACTGACTGGCGTATGCAGTTTTAAAACGCCGAAAAAAATCAATAACAAAACAGACTCATTCATCCATTTCAGTTTTGGACTGTCGCTGTCTGCTCTGATTCTATGCGTGACCGAAGGCAGGACTTGTGCCTCCATATTTTGAAGAACAAGGAAAAAAAGGTCATCACGTCACGTCACACAAGAGCCTCCTCCCGGGCCCCAAACACCTTCATGAATTTTAAGCTGTTTACAACATCACCAGTGCCACGCACCCCGTGCGTCAAAGCGACAAAAAGAAAATGCCTATTGCTGTTCCAGAGGGGAAGAGCCAATAAACATCTGAGTGGAGCGGAAAAATAAAGAAAAATTAAGAAAAAAGAAACCTGGGGAAACAGTGAGTTGTGACACCAATGACATCATTGGTGGATACACATAAAAAAAATTACAACCATGCTTTCTTTTCTCACGTTTGCAGTTGTTGTGTGTTTTATTTTTTTCTTTCTTTGTTAAATGTACTGAAGTTAGGAAAAAATATTGTAATAAAACTGCTATACTGACTATTGTATCTACTTTCAAATGTAAAGAAACATGAGGTGACAAACATGATCCTGCTGCTTGTCAAAGAAATAAATAAAAAACAATGAAAGGTTTTATGTAAACATTTGAGTGTATTCATATGTCAGTGCTTTCTGGTGTGTTGGTCCCAGCTGGGAGCAATAACAGCAGGATACCGATCAGGTCTTCAATGACTTCAACCACAGCGAGAAAACCCAGAGGCTCCGATATGTTTTGGTGGAAACTGAAAACAGGAACAAAGACGCACAGTCATTTCACTCCAACAAAGGCTTTGCTATGCATTGGCAGTGAGACAACTGGACACTGGGACCCCATTCATTTCATAATGACATCGGCAGCACAGCGATTGGCTCGGAAGGTCTCAAGCAGCCAGAGGATTTCAATCACAAGTCAGTGTCTAAAGTCCACAGGATTTGGCCCCACGCAAGATAACTTCTTCATGACTAATAACTTTAGTTTGACTCAGTTGCACACCTGTAATTGAAGCAGTGAAAAAATCCAATTCGGTCAATATTAATTTCTATTATTATGAATGAATACCTTCAAGGACATTTCACATATTGTCTGAAATCACTCAGGCCTCAATACTTAATGTAGTAAAGTGAATAGTGAAGTAATAATGTTCAAAGTTGCTTTACTGCAACTGTAAAAATTAAATAAAAACTGCGCCATTCGCACATGCGCGTTTGGTACGCAGGGGTAACGTGGGGAACGGTGACCCCCCCCCCCCCCGACCCTCCCAGCTGACAGCTGTTCCTGGGGCTGACCCAGGGTGGATTGAGTTCGGAAACATCATGAGCTGTCGTGGGGGGTTCAGGTGTCCGTGGTTGTCTCGTGCCTGGCTTATATCATTGTATTAATTATTGGCTAATTCCGGAACACGAAAAAACGTTTTTTTTGCAGTGTTTGGAGGTTTTGTATTTGTTGAATGCGGAGCTCTCCGTTGCCCACAGACCTCGTGGCGCAACGGTAGCGCGTCTGACTCCAGATCAGAAGGTTGCGTGTTCAAATCACGTCGGGGTCATGTCTTTTCAGCCATTTTCAGAACATTAAATGTTGATTCATCTTCTATTGATGTATCAAAACGTAAAAGTTCCTGAAGTCTGTTGTGTTGCATTGATGTTAATATAAACAGCTATTGGTCTGCTATATACCTGTAAGCATATCTATTTGCCAATAAACCCATATCAGTGTTGTAATTCAACAATTTGCATTTTATATTCACCTCATTGAAAACAGTATCCACCTATACATTCATATAAGCAATCGACAACCTGAGTTTCTGTTTAATGCATGTGTGTATAGCTGTTATACGGCAGACTTCAATTGTGTCCTCCAAGTAAACATAAATGACCCTCACGTGTTTTGAATACACAGCGTTCTGATCTGGAGTCAGATGCGTTTAAGTTGCGCCACAAGGTCTCACACAGATGCCTCAAAGTCTCCTACTGAAGAAATGGTCCTCATAGAGGCAGTGGTCATATGAAAACATCCTAGCCTTGTTCATTCCTCCTGCTTCACTGCACTTTGCCATCATTCCAGATTCAAATTAGGGGAGGATACACAGAAGTAAACGCACAACAGGAAGTTTTCAATTTTAATGGAATTGTTAGCTGTAAGTTGTAAGTGTTATGCTACACAGCGATCAGATCAGAACACGTATGCATAGAAGGAAAAGCATCTGGCAGCATTGATAAATCCATGAAGTGCTGATACCGTCCTCTGTGTCTGCAGTGTGCATAGGGGCTCTGAACCTTATCTAAACAAAGGAGATCCCAGCAGAAAACCAGCTGTAACACCTAAAACAGCCCGCAGATGGAGCCGTTTACCTGTGACAAATACGGCTCAAGGATTTATTTCATTTCATTTACATATCCTGACAAAAACTTTTAGCTTTAGACATCCACCATCTACAACATTTTGTTCGGCGCAGGTTTCGAGGCTCATCAGTCTCTTTCATTTGTAATGGTGCTCTGCATTAGTCAAAGGTAGCGGTAGACTGTAGTGTAGTAGACTGGAGCTGCACATGGACAGTTTGTGTTCAGCCCTCAATAAATGATGATTGTAGGACTACGGACTTGATATCTCTGTTACCTTCAACGCCTTGTTCCATAAATGTGGGATCATTGCGCCGGACGCTGTGTTCTTGGGCCGGCTCCTACATGTCAAAAAAGGCAGAAAAGGACACCCCCCCCTCCCCTGTACCCTCTCTTGGGACCATGTTGGAGCACGCCTGCCATGGAAGTAACGCCTCACTGTCAGCTTACAGCTACAGCACACCGAGGCTTTTTTCAGCCTCTGTGTTGCCGCTCCTTCTTTCAGCACAGGACCGCTTTCTAAGAAGGACGACACACATATCCTCACGTTCACATCCGATCAAACATTTCTCTGGTGGGCACTCTGAGGCCCTCTCAGGTCGTGCGCCCCAGTGAGGCTGAACCTCCTCCTTCGCTCTCTGCATTCCTCATGTGCAGTGGAGATCACTGCAATCGCCGTCCGGAAAGCAGCTCTGGGTTAATAAGTGATTTGTCCAACCGGGGAAAAGGGTGATATGCTCATCGGTGATCCATATAACAAGCTCTCAGCTGGACTTCATACACTGAGCAGTGCTCACTGGCGTCTGACTGGTTTGCCTGTGTTTAAAAGTGCGATGCAGTTAATGACAGATAAAATGTAAAATAACCCAAATTCTCTCAAATGGGGTTATAAGCGAGACTTTAAAATATTACGCCAGCAATGACACGGTGTGGAAGGGTCCTATATGACACGGTGTGGAAGGGTCCTGTATGACACGGTGTGGAAGGGTCCTGTATTGCTGTCAAACTCCACCATTAGCTTTTTGAGGGAGAGTTTTGGCCACCAAGGGGAGTGTGATTGGAGCAGCAGTTTTCAGAGGGAAGTAGTTTGTACTGTACGACCAACCGGGTGGCAGTCTGACGGAAGTGGCTTCCAACTAGAATAAGTCAATATATTGGTAAGTGCCATTGGTTTGACCCTGACGTTCATTGGAACACATCTTTTGATCTGGAGTCAGACGTATTACGGTTACCTTTGCGCCACAAGGTCAGGACCCCTAATGAGAATAAATGATGTTTTAAAAAGAAATGAAGGAAATATTTTCTTAATCTTTTAGATTACATTTGGATGCTCAAGGGCAAAAACAAAACAAAGCCGAGAGCGCAAAGGAACAAATATTTGAGCTGCAATAGTGTAGTTTGGGAAAAAGCAGGGCTGTCCATCTTGCTCTGGTGTTCATGTTCATTCACTTGGACTGCTAAAGAGCAAAGAGCTTGCGGGGAGTGAGAGAAGCTCCACGGAGAGTTTCGCAGCTTTTATCACTAAATTGGGGCATACCGTAGATGCAGCCTAAGGCCCATCTCTCCTTCTTTTGCACTGTGTTTCAATTATTTATAGTTGCACGCATAATAGGCTAATATGTACTTCGCCATCAGGGCTGTTCTCAGCACCTCCACTCTGCTGGGGAGTTCACTCAGTCCGTCTCGCTTGTTCGAGTTCAAATTCAATATCTGTTAAAAGCTGTTCTGTGAGCTGGATTGACAGGCGCGGTGGCCTCGTGCTTGCTGCCATGGGACTTGCAGCGCTTAACCTTAACTAACCCAACTCACAGAGTCCGGTATGCTCTGACCCCAGAGCAGTGCCATCATGTGGAGCATGCATAGCAGGTAGATGTGCACCAGGACAGAATCCGTCTCTACGCAGTGACTAAACAAAGCTGAACATCGGATTTCAACTGTGGACCTAGTTTGAGGTCTTCTTCGGAACCTCGGAACCTGTTGGGGAAGAATGGGAAACTGCTCCGGGGCCTTAGTGGGGCCCCCAATGAATCAGTCAGGATGTCTGTGTGGCAATGGCTTCAACATAATATTGCACACTGACTGCCTCTGGGACTCTGGGAAAAGTGGGTGGGGGCAACGTGGGTGAAGGTTACAGGTTCTGCAGCCCTGGGCCCTTTCTGTAAGATGTCCTTGCTCTTGAATCGAGGATGAAGACACTAATGATCACACCCACCTCGAATGATATTTAAATCCAAGTGTTACGCAACTTTTGGTGATAAGCAAGCAACGCGCGGTAAAGTGCCTCGGGTTGGGCTATTGAACCCGTAACCCGCAGCGTACCGACCAGCGCGCGCAGCATTCTGCAAACGTGCCCCGACATGTGGACGCGCTCGCCGTGTCGCTCCAGCGGTGCGCGCTCGTCTCTCGTCGGGGAGGCTTCTGGTTGGGAAGTTTCTGTAAAGTGAGTCAACGCGGCGCGCTCCACCCCGCCCCCCCCCTCCCCACCAGAGACACACGTAAACACTCACACACACGCACACGCGCCGACCCAGCCCCGCCGCCTACCGGACCCAATGCCGGGCGACAACTACACTTCGACCTCTTCGTCGCGGCCACCGCGGATCTAAGTTTTGTTCCCGCCGGGGCTCGCCGGGGCTCGCCGGGGATGGTTCGCGTCGCCCTGACGCGGCATTTTCCTCGCTGGGATTAACGCAGCGGAGGTGAAAAATGAAAGTGACGGTGTGTTTCGGGAGGACCCGGGTGGTCGTCCCGTGCGGGGATGGGAATATACAAGTCCACAACCTCATCGACCAGGCGGCCATGAGGTACAAGAAGGCGATCGCAAAGGTAAGCGCCCCCCCCCCCCCCCCCGAAAAAACTTCCCAGAGAGCGCAGCGCTGCTCCGGGTGAGCTCGTGGTAGCGTCTCCGCCTCAACAATGCGCTTTTTTTCTTTCACGGGACAGGAGAGCTAGTGGGCCGCTCCTGTTTCACAGGAGACCGGGCAAGGGACCCCAGGGCCCTCTCTGAGGGAGAAGTTCTTGGGGCAGTAGGGGTTCTCATAAGTTTTCACGCAGCAAAAACTGCCACAAATGTGGTTTTTTCCCAAAGGCGGTGCGGAATTTTTTCTCCCCGGTTATGTGTAGGAATAGTTCATGAAATAGTTGGGTTCTTCTTGCCAGCGGGGAAGATCCCCCTTAATCGCATCTGCCAATTTTTGTGTGTTAAAGTGTCTTAAAATGTGGGTGTGGGAGCATGGGGGGGGGTGGGGGGGGGGGGGGAAGTAGGAACAATATAGCCTGCACTGTGTGTGTGTGCAAGTGTGTATAAAAGGTCACCGTTTGTGCAACTTGTCGACATAATAAAATACTATTCTCTTATTCCTCAGTAACAAACATCAGTTACTAGTGTGTAGATTCACTGTCACACACACACACGCACACATTTGAATCTGAGTGTGCATGTCTCCTTATCTCAACATGGTCAATCCCTTTTCTTTTATAAGTGCTCACCCGCCCTGTGCATGGGCTGAGGAACGGCGCTTTGCACTCTTTTCTCGTTGCAATTGCATGGCGATCTAACAAAAAGTTCCCTCATTTACTGAATAAGGGAACGTGTGTGAAATCCCTTGTGCCAAATCTGAATGCGGTCTGAGTGGGAGACTCATTGCTTTTTACCTTTTGTGGGTTTCTAGTGGCTGCGCTAACAAGCCCTTTATATTGACTAATGAATGGATTCAAGTTGGGTACCATTATCAGCGATGGTGACTGCGCTTTCTCCTCTTTCCTCTTTTCAAGTCCTTGGAGTACCTCGATGAACCCCACCCGGGTTAATAGAGCGGTGATGGCATGATGCGGGTTTGATGATCCATGTCTTTCTTTCAGCACATTCTCAGAGAGGCTTCCATTAACAGCTCAGCTCTGTAGTGACAGGTGAAGTACCTCGTACTTCCTGGAAAACATTCACTGCTGCACCATGGTAGTAGACTTTTACCACTGGAGGCAAAAAGTGACAAATTAGGTCAACATAAATGCTTGTTGGGGAGAGCTCTTCCTCCTTGCTGACACACTAGCACTAGCAGCCCCCCACACACACACACATTCTCTCCCCCGTTTACCAGTGCTTGTTGGGTTTTCCATGGTTCAGCAGAACAGAGGCGAGTGGTCCATTGATCCATGCAGTGGCACCATGAATATAGACGCGTAGGCTTCCCCTGTGGAGAACACTTGTCTCAAGGTCAACACTCACCAGCAAAGACCTTTGGACCAAAGGAAGACGAGTTCTGCTCCCTCCAGCTGTGAAACATTCATGTAGCTTTTGACGCTTGATTTAAAAGTTCAAAAGCAACGTTGTATTTGCCAGCTTGCCGATGCTGTTTCATGCAATATAAATTGAAGGCTCACTTTTACTGAGGGTTAGATTAATTGGTGGCTCTAAATTACCTGTAGGTGTAAGAATGTGAGCGTGAGTGCTTGTCTGTCTCTGTGTGTCAGCCCTGTGACTGACTGGCAACCAGTCCACTGTGTCCCCCGTCTCTGGCCTGATGTTAGCAGCCCTCCCGCAACACTCTAAGGATAAGCTGTATAGAAGATGACTGACTTGGCATTCAAAAGAGAGCATATATCATGCAGGATGATGCCTAGTATGAATTACGCTCTTTTTCAGACGCAGACGCTTTAGCATAAAGAACAGAGAAACAATCGACAGGCGAAGTGTCCTCCATAATTCAAAAGCCTCACACAGCAAAGGCATTTTTAAACACCTGAAGAATGTTTTTAGAAAGTGGCAGCCGATGTTTGGGACACCGCCAGCATGCTAGAAGTAAGCTATGACAGTGTAAAGGCCATGCTCTTAGGTCGCTGGTAGTTTGGTTCATTTTGTCACAGCAAAGCTTAGAGAAAATCACGATCACCTTTTTGATTGACCTCTCAGTTGATCCACTTTAACTAACTGATCAGTTTGACTAACTGATATGAGAATCATTCTTTTTGAGCTCTTCAACAACCACATTTGGTTGCCTTTTTCTCTGCCTTCTTCCTCTAAGCTCATCTACCCGCACTGCCTCACTCTTAATGCTTTTATCCACCTCTTCATAGCGCTTGAACCATCTTTGGTTGCAAAGATATCCCTTACACGTATTGCCTTGGCAATGCTCTGATGCTTTTTTTGGCTCTGGCCGCCTCTAATGGCAACGATGTGTAAGAATAATACCATCCTCTCCAAATTAGCTAAGCCCAATCAAGACAGTGTCACAATCTGTTCCGACATACCGGTGCTTCCCCGAGACCCCCGAGACCTTCATCACAGTCTGAGTGGGATCAGGAAGTAGGAATCGATCTCTCAATCAACCCCTCAAGCACCGTTAAGCCTTAAGAGTCTATTTGCTCTCCATTATGCACAGTCATGAAGGAATCCTGCTGTTCCGATTATGGTTGTTTTCAGCACTTGGCCGGTCAAGTAACTGATTGCACATTTTTAGATACGTAAGCAAGAATAAAATGAAGATGTTAGTTTGTGGGATATCCTTTGGCCACACCAATCTTTACTCCACCTCTCGCGCGTTTTACTGGTGCACTCGCTGTCACATAAAGCTAAAGAATACTCTACATGTTCAGACGCTGGATCCCTAATTTGGGGCTCGATCTCTTAGAAGGCCCGCGTTTCCAGATCTCGTTTTTTTTTCCAACCTTCCCACAGTGACTAAACCTAAGTGGTGCCTAAGGCCTTCGAAGCAAATAATTGGGCTTGTTGCTAACGCTAGTCCACAAATTCAGGCTTGCAGACATGTCAAAGCAAAGTCAAGTTGTGGAATATCCTTTAGGGACATTGCTGTTGGGAAAAAACAAATTCTCCTTCCTTTGCTACATCGACAGCATATCACATGCATCTGTATAGCACATACAGATGCATGTGACAGTGTCCACTGCTTAAACCTTGAAGTTACCGTTGAACCAAGATATGGTAACACTTGGAATCCTTTGAATGTGAATAACAAATGTAAGCATAAAAGAAGGGTTAGAAACTGGGTTTTTTTCAGGAATGAAGCCAACTTGATATATAATAGCTTTTCCCACAGATCCAACGTCAATGTGTGGGGGCATTTCACACCCTATACTACTTGTTGTTACAGCCTACATGCGCAAAGTCTGCAACTTCTGTCAGAGCAACGGATTTTGCGGGGCTTGCTAAAAAAAAGACACGCGAGACAGACGCGTTGTGCACAGAGGGGCTGTGTGTGTGTGTGTGTTTGTGTGAGACGCGTGAGTGACAGAGACGGAGGGAGAGCAGGGAAAGGAAATGCAGCTGAACGAAGACGCTGCATGATTTAAATAGCGTCAAAAAAATAAAAGTAAAATACACCAAACGCAATGTGTGGCGGCCGATGTTGAATCTGTGGCGCACCGCCACAAATTAGTCTTATGTGTGGGTCAAACACTGTATAATAAGATTTCGAGATCGGAGCCAGGCTAGCTGTTTACCCTTTTTTTCCCTTATGCTAAGCTAAGCTAATTGACTGCTGGCTGCAGCTTATTAATTAGGGTACGGAAAGTGAGAGTGGTGGCAACTTCATCATTTCACCTTTGGGAAGAAAGTATTCCAGTAATTGAACCCTTTAAAGTAATTATTTAGTACTGAGTGGAGGTTATACAATTATCTTATCAGCTGTGAAACCTTTAAAAAAAACAAAAGTAAAATTTTAAGATTTTAAAAATGTTAAATTTTCCTAAAGAGAATACAACAGAAATAGGGAAGTGAATATTTTGTCCTGCATAAACTAACATCGCAAACAGTAATCAACATGAGCATGTTAGCAGGCAGCCTGCAGCTGACCCCGGCCCTTGGCATTTCAAAGCAAGTTGTCTGTTGAGTAACTCAGCCAACCTGTAGAGAAACAAACACGGCGTTGGAGAGCCGCTCCTTACACTCAATGTCTTGAGAACTAAGGATAGACTCTATTTTGCTGCAGGGCAAAGCTAAGACATGTTAGCATCTGCCTGTGACATAATGTTTGAAGAGCCACACTGATGTTGATGTTAAAGGAAAAAGGTAAAGACAGGACCTCCTTCAAATTGCATTGGAGAGATATTTGTTGATATTTTCAAAGAAGTGATTAGCAATGGTGTTATGTGGAAAGTTTCAACAATTTGATCCCTTGGTCTTTTCTGGAGCTCACCAGTCTCTATGTGATTGAACTGTGTAAGAGTAGGGCGGTTCAGGCTGCATAGTCCAGAGAGTAGGGGGGAAGTGGCCTCAGTGACCTCTCATGTTGTATTCTCCTCCAGCTTTCCCTCAGTTTTGTATCCTTTTCCTATCTTCATCTCTCTTTTCTTTCTTACAGTCTTGCCCCCTTTTTTTCAAAGCCGACTGAGCAGTGTCCTTGATTTTGTGCTAACTCCTCCCAGGGGAATACTTGTCTTCCAGTCTTTCACTAAAACTCCACTCTCCCGGCAGCTGTCAAATCACAAACTGAAGTCTTGCCCAAGCATCCAAAAAGGTGTCCTGCACCCCTGGTCTACACTGCACCCCTTCTTTGTGATTCTGCTGAGATGTGAGACAGAGGGGGGGGTAAATGCAGTAAATGGAGGAAAAAAAGTAAAAAAAAGAAAGCTTACTTCTATTGAAATGACTTCATTGTAAGTATAGTTTAGTGGTGTAGAAACATACAGTACAGCCCACGATGCTGGACAATGACATGTACTTTTGTTACTTTCAACTCGAGCAAATTTGGAAATTACATGGAACCGAGGTTTAGGTTTTAGGAGTGTTCAGGGCTTATACATAGTCAAACACTATTGCCGCAAACATACATAAAAGGCAACCAGAGAATGTTTTTTTCTCTCTAATATTT